CTTAGTGCCTAAGGCATTTGACTGCTAACCAGAAGGCTGGTGGTTCAAACCCACCAGCCACTCCTCAGAAGGAAGGTTGGGCAATCTACTTCGTAGAGTGATACTGCCCCAGAAACCCAAGGAGGGGTCACTATGAATCAGATCTGACTCAACGGCAGTGCGTTGTGTTGCATTGGATCAAATGGTATTTCTAATTCCAACTTTTTAAGGAATCACCATACTGCTTTCCATAGTGGTTGTATCATGTTACAGTCCTACCAGCAGTGTATGATTTTCCCAATCTCTCCATATCCTCACCAACATTTTTTATTTCCTGTTTTGTTGAACTTTGCTGTTCGTGCTGGGGCAAGATGGTATCTCATTGTTGTTTTGATTTGCATATCTCTAACGGCTAATGATTGTGAACATTTCTTCATGTGCTTGTTGGCTGCCTTAATATCCTCTTTGGTGAAGTGTCTATTCATGTCTTCTGCCCATTTTTTAATTGGATTTTTTGTTTTTTTGTTATTGAAGTGAGTTTCATTTATTTTTGTTTGAATTTTCATTATTTTTCTTCTGCTGACTGTAAGCTTATTTTTTGCTGCTCTCTATCTAATTGTTGGAGATGTTGGGTTAAGGTGTTGGTTTTGACTATTTCTTCTTTTTTGATGTATGTATTTTTGCTATAAATTGGCCTTTGATCACTGCTTTTGTTGTGTTCCAAAGGTTTTGGTATGGTGTGTTTTTCTCATTTAATTCAAGGATTTTTTTAAGTTCATTTTTTATTTCTTCTTTTACCCAGTCATTTTTAAGGAGGGTGTTATTCAGTTTCCATGTGTTTGTTCTTTTTCCGTCAATTTCCCTATTATTGATTTCTAATTTTAAAGCATTGTGATCCGAGAAGATCCTTTGCAATATATCAAAACCAGTTGATGGATTGTATTTTTTAATTCTTTTGCATCTTTGTTCAGTTTCTTTCCAACTGTTCTATCTTTTATTGAAGGTGGAATATTAAAGTCTCCTATTATGACTGTGGAGTCACCTATTTGTCTTTTCAATTCTGTTAGTCTCCTTTATGTACTTTGGAGCTCTTTCATTGGATGCATAGATATTTATTACTGTTATGTCCTCTTGTTCAAGTGATCTTTTAATCATTATATAATGTCATTCCTTGTTTTTTTTTGGTGGGTTTTGTCTTTACGTCAATTTTAACAGAAATTAAAATTGCCACTCCCGCTCTTTTGTGATTGACATTTGCTTGATACATCTTTTTCCAACCTTTGATTTTTAGTCTATTTTTTTCTTTGTCTTTAATGTGTGGCTCTTGCAGACTATATATTGATGGGTCATGTTTTCATATCCAACCTGCAACCCTCTGTCTCCTGTGTGGTGCATTTAATTCATTTTTCTGCAGTGTAATTACTGTCAAGTATGAATTTGTTGCTGTCATTTTATTTTGTATTTTTTTGGTGTGTGTGGTGTTGCCAATTTCTTTGTTCCATACATTTTTTTTTGTGTGTGTGTATGCTGAGCTCACTGTTTATGAATCATGTTATCATTTCCTTCCTTGGTATTGTTTTGTTGTTGTTATGTGCCATCAAGTCAGACCTGACTCATAGTGAACCTCCTTGGGTTTCTGAGGTGGTATCACTATGGAAGTAGATTGCCCAACC